GCGGAGCCGCGCTCCCCGCCAGCGGCCGGCGCTCGTCGGGTGACGTTGGTGCGGCTGCTTGGAAGAACGAAAGTTCCTTGCAGTGCTTTATTTATCCTCGTAGATTGTTTTTTGACCAGAACTTTGTGGCTGGAGAACTTTGTGGCTGGGAGAAACTTTTCTTTTTTTAAACTTCAGGCAAGTACTGACATTTCTGTTTGTCAAGAAGTGAGCCCCTGCTCACAGGAATTGTAAGATTTCTATCTTAAGGCAATTCCTAGATTTTTGTTTGTTTGTTTTAAATTTCATAATAGAGCAATCATGGGCCAAAGAAAGAAATATGTACTCAAACCAGGGGATGTACTGGTATGGAAAGTTTGAAAACCTCTGCTGGAACTCTTCTTGAGTAAGGAATTTTATTTGTTTGTTTGTCTTTTTGAGACAGGGTTTCACTATGCAGTTCAGTCTGGTCTTGAACTCACTTTGTAGTACAGGCTGGCCTCCAACGTGCAGTGATCCTCCTGCCTCAGCCTCCGGAGTCTGGGGATTAACAGGTGTGCGCCACCATGCCCGGCTAGGAATTCTGTTTCATGCATCTTCCTATACTGAGCCCTTTGCAAAGTACCTGATTCTAAACTGCGGTAAATAGCACATGGCTACCCTTTTTGGTCAGTAACACGTTTCAGTTTATCACTAAGCCAGTACCATAAATGTGTGGGGTCACTCAAGCCAAGCCTCTGCACTTAGCAGAGGCAGAGTTGCCACACTCAGAAAAACTCATACTAACTTGCTTGCCAGTAACAAAATTTTCTTTTTTTATAGTTAATAAATCTGATCATTTTAGGAATCTAGATCCTTGTTTCCCTAACAGATTAAAAATCAAGAAATATAAACCGATGTACACAGTTTCTTGACATGGAGAACCAAGCCCATAATACAGTGGGGTAAGTGCTGAGACTTTTTTTTATTAGCTGATACTGAATTATGTGAAACACTCCCCGATGAAATGTACATTTTGAAATTTATTATTATGAGAAGAGTGTTCCAGTTATTTTTGGTAAGGAGGCAGGGGAAAATATCAGATGACTAATTAAGAATGCATTAGTGTATTTCCAACTTCTGTTCTGTGCATCTATGCCCTCAACCACCGTTCTCCCAGCTTCTAGTGACTTTCTGCGGTGGCTGAGCGCGACAGCACCCAGGCCGGCCCCAGACACCTTCCTACAGTGCAGCAGCTCCTGGCCAGCGTGCATCTTTTTCCCCCTGCATTCAGTATGCCCTTTCTTCTCCTCTGCTCTTACCTCTAAGACTTAACCTTGCCTCTAGCATTTTAAGCACAGCCTCACAAGAGATGCACTTCCACACTCTGGATATGTTACTAAGATTTTTAGGAAAAGCTAAAGAATGGAACTAGTATAACATTCACTGTCATAGAAAATGAATCCTTTGCACACACATCTGTCCTCATCCCTTCCTCAGGTTTCTTTTCTGGTGTTGCACTTGCCAGCTGCCATGGGCTGAGCTCGTAGAGTGCCCAGTCTTTGTGACTGTTTCTGGCACTCATCACACCACTCAGTGTCTTACTTGCAGTGATTCAACAGACTATGACTTTGATACCAGGTTAAAGGAAAACATCAGAAGTGTGGCTAATAATAACTGTCGCTGTTTTAACCCCGCCACCTTCCAAAGCACTACTGAATGTCATTCTCACTGTATAACAAGAAAACTGCCTATATTATAGCGTGCTTTCAGCTCTTGTAACAGGACCCAAATGAGTGCCTTAAATAAGATTAAAAGTTGATTTCTAGCC